ATATATATATATATATATATATATTTTTTTTTAATGCTCTTATTAGAGTCTCACCATAGTGATTTAGGATAAGACAAAAACACAATTTGTATTCATTATGTACTCGCTCATTAAATACATTTAGTTAATTAAAAAAAGAAAAAGTTACCTAGTGCACCTTTAAAATTCAGTAACGAGGAATTAATATTTGTGGAAATGTTTGCTTATATTCTACGCTTTAAATGTTTAACCAATGTGTGTCATCGTGTGTTCATAATGTGTGCCTAAAACTACATACATGAAGACAGTCTTTTTATAAAGATGAGACTCAACCTTTAGGTGTGAGATCATGTTCACATTTTGAAGGAATTTTTTTGCGAATCTTAAACTTTATCGTAATACCCTCACTATTTTAAATACTTAGGCTATTCAGTTTGTGTTTTCATGTTAATATTTACAATGAAAGTGATATAGTTAATAGTTACTATAAAAAATGTTTAGCTTCTCTTGAGTTTTCATTTGAATAATCTGGCCCCTGAGCAGCTGAAAAGCCCTTTTTTTAGAATATGATGGAGAGAGCACTAATGCAATGCTTCATCCTCCTGGTCCGTGTGTGTGTGTGTGTGTGTGTGTGTGTGTGTGTCTGTCTACCTGTCTGACTGTTCCAGTAAACTGAAGCCAGCAGATAAGGACCGTCGGCTGTCTGTGGAGGTGTGGGACTGGGACAGAACCACCCGTAATGATTTCATGGGCTCAATGTCGTTTGGTGTGTCTGAGCTCATGAAATCCTCAGTGTGTGGATGGTAAGGATTTGTCTCTTTCTCACTGACCCATGTAAGTATCTGACAGGAAAAAGGTTTGGTCACTTGTTAAGCAGTCATTTCCTACTGTTATTAGATATGTCTCATTAGTTAAAAACTGACTTCAAAGCTGTGTAGTGCACTCTATTTTAAGCCTTCTGAAGCTAGCTTTGTGTCGCAAAAAAAGGCCAATTTGATGTTGTTGTTCACATAATCTTTCCCAAAATTGTATTTAAATTTAAATGTAAAAATGGTGCAACGATGCCAGAACACCACTGCAGCCAATTAAGCAGACATGCTATGAAATATATAATTATATAATGATATTATTTGGAGAAAAATTAAATATAGCTTTTATAGACTCTAAACAGAATGAATTATTGGTAAATAAACAGACATGTATGGACTTAAAATGTGCTTTGATGAATACAGTACGCAGTCATAACTTTTGCCTGTGATGCAGGTATAAAGTGTTAAACCAGGAGGAGGGGGAGTACTACAATGTGCCTATTCCAGATGAAGATGACGAGGATACCGAGCTCCGACAGAAGTTTGAGGTGACTCTTATATTATCCTTATGTGCAAACCCCATAAACTTATCTTGTGTTTGTTTAGAAAAGCTATTTTTGACACAAATTAAAAAAGAGTTGTGTTTGTGTCAAGAATTCAACCTGAGGCTGAACAAATAATAAATTAGTCTGTGGCTCTTACCGAACAACTTTTTATTTCCCAATTGCTAACAATAAGCTCTTGTGAATTAATCATAAAGAATGATAATCGAATCATTATTTTAGAACAATTATTTTGTCTTTATTGACTAGGTAGAATGAGCAGGTTGGCAAACACCATCAATAAATTATTAGAGTGACCCTCAGGCCTAAAGACTCAAGAGAGAAACAGCAAATGTTTAGTGTGAAATACATTGTTATTATGTCAACAATAACATTACGTAACTCAGATTGTATATCTGTTTAGCATGTTAGCTGGAGCAGATCTGTCAGTATTTTAGCTGTTGTTTTTGTGTATACTGTATGTCAGATATATTGTTGTACTGGAAACATGATTAGGAGATATTAAATTTTCATCTGCTTGTAGCTTTCCTGAGACACATACTGTAGATGCTTGTACACATAGAAATACAGTATAGCTGCCTTGGAGCTGTTTATGTCTACGTGACTCATAAAACATTTAAAGCTAGTTGCGCACTAGACGAGAAACGCATTGGCACATCAGTCACCGTCGGCTTTGAGAATCAGTTTTCTAGTAATTCCTTGTTTTGCCAGATGATGGCAGTCATAATTTTCCTTGTCATTTTTGCTTGTTTTAATTAGATGATGTTGAAATCCCACCACCATATGTCATCCTGTGCTTGAGGAGCTAAACATAATCAAACCCACTTTTATTGAGAATTAGATTGATATGATCTATTGTGAGAAGCAAAGTGGAAACTCTATAGTTAGTTTCTGTTTACCTTTTGCAGGACAGCATCATTTAAAGCAATACAAGTGCTTGAAGCTTCATTGGGTGCTGTGGGTTGAATGTACCCATAGCCTTTTAAGCAGGCCAATGGAATGGAATATATAGTAATATTATTTTGGGGGAAAGACTATTGCAAATAAAATACTGTGAAAAAAAAAAACTTTTTGATATAGGATTTTAATTGCCAGCGTCTCACTAGCTGATTTTTCCGAATTTAATTATTTTTCTGTGCATGAACATATTCTTTCTATGACAAATACATATCTCATAGATTTACGATTTGTCAGTTTATTACAGCACTTCATGTTCGTGCAATGCTCCTGTTGTTTTTATTTCACAAGCTTCACTTATTTGTAAATCAGATAGAAAATTCAGAGGCAGCTGCTTATTATGCCCCTCTGTCATTTTTAATCAGTGTGTGTGTGACAGACCTCCGACTGAAGATGGCGAGATTTCATCAAAAACAGTCGGCAGGTGAGAAACCCCTACCGAAAGTTAGTTCATACAAGTTGGCTAGTGAGACGCCCCATTTACCCAGACTTTCTCAATTGCATCCACATGCTAAGTACTTTGCCAGAGATAAGTGGCCATAACTGTGGTTGGGAAAATTAGATAATTATTGTCTTTTCCTTTTCACACATTCCTTTTATGTGTGTTACCTGTCTGCATGTATATCTCTGTTTACCCCTCTCATGTGGTTTCAGGATCAGACTTTAGAGGACCTTGAGCAGGTGCGTGCCAGCAGCAGCGTTCAAATATGTGTATGTTGATTGGCTGGCTGGTTATATGCCCGTTTTATCTGCATCACTTTTTTATTAAATGGACGCTACATTAATCCAGCTTCATCTTGAAGTATGTGAGAGTGTGAAGACCTTTTACAGAGAATACTTCTTGTGTGTGCCTGCTCATGGGGCAGTGATAGGTTTCTGATATAGAGGTATGCATAGACTTGGGAATGAATTTTGCTGCAGGGAGAGACATCCCATTTTTGATACAAAATACACTTGCACAGCTCAGTAAACAAAGGTAATTAAAAAAAACAAAACAATGCCCAATGTTTTTATCCTTCTGGTATTCTTCATTTAGGGGTCACACTGATGATCCTCGGTGGTCAAAACAGGCTGAGACAATAAGTGTATTTTGTTTCAGTATTGATTTTTGAATATTTAGCATTTTGAGACAATTTCATGATACTACACCAAATTCATTTCTAATTTTTTCTATTTTTATTTTATAAAATAATATTTCATATTATTTTTAGTTAATACAATGTGTACGTTAAAAATAGACCAAAAGTATTAAACATCCAGTGCATGGAAGAGAGATTAGTGCCATCTGGTGGGAGAAATAAATTTGTAAAAAAATTAAAAAGTAGAATTTGTTTTGGTCTAAAATTACAGAAAACCATCAAAAGTTTGAAGCAGCCCTCCTCTCACAGTTGACATCAGTGAAGGCCCTTTATTAGGGCATCAATGTCTTCATCATGCAGTGTTTTCTGACTCATTGTAGAGTGTAACCATGTCGTAAATGGCATAGCATGGGGAAAAAAGTTTCTCCCAGATGAAGTAGCTAAAATTTGAAGAAATTGAAGATGTGAGATGTGAAAACACATGCTTTATGAGTCTTTCAGCTTTTTTCTTATTAATGATGTCTCAAAGAACTTTCAGCTGGAGCTTAGGTCAGCCTCCATCACATTGTTGTTGTTAGGGAGTTTGATCTTTGTTGGCAACCTTAATAAGCACCTTCCCCCTGAGAACGGCTACCTTCATGCCTTCTTGATCCAGTCAAATCTGCTGCATCACAAAACTTGCATCATCATGAGTATCACCACTTTGTGCCCCTGGCTCTGATGGCTCTGCTAACAGATTGAGGTCTTACTTACCTGGTCTGTCCCACTGTAGAGACACTGTGTAATATGTTTTCCACCACTGCATAATCATGAAGTGCTTCTCACCAAAGCATTTACATTACATTTAGTCATTTAGCAGACGCTTTTATCCAAAGCAACTTGAGGACAAAAGAAGCAATCAAAACCAACAAAAGAGCAAGTCATTACACTTCAAGACCACCTGACCACCAACTTGGAGTGCTCAAAAGCCGTTTAACAACACAGAAGGATAAAGAAGGTTCTTAACTTCAGCGATTCCTTATAGAAGCCTTCAGTCTTTGCTCTGGTGTTTCTCGTCACTGTCATTCTATAGCTGATCCAGAGTTCAGAGGGTTTCTCTGTAGCCATTACAAATTTGCTTGTAGATATTTAACATATTCACCACCATCTCATCGGACACATCGCTATTAGGCCAAAAACTTCATCACAATCAAACTCTGACTTGTAGAGTTTCTTGTTCAGATGACTTCCCTTTCAACCCAAGCTATGCCCTAAACAGGACCTCTGAAGTGGTTGGCACAATGTGCAAAAATAACTTTTGAAAATTGTCCCAATATATTATTGGCTCCATACATTCAGTAGGAAGGTAGGTTACACAAAATCAGATATTCTTCAATGAAAAATATATTGTGCACTGCTGTTGTAGTTTGAGCTCAAGGCCGTCCAGTCTAGCTTGGCAGAGAATCTTGGCTTGCTGACTGACTTCTGCATGCTGTGATGGAAAGAATTTCATCTGCCTTGGGTAACTGCATGGGCACTACCCAGAATTCATCAAGAAGGCAGATTTAGAATGAGCCTTGTTGTGTATGGATTGTGTTATAGGACATTGGTAGGAAATGCAGATGATGCTGCAAATGGATTATGCTTTATTGGGCTGCATCTCTAAAAGGTTAATGGCCCTGAATCAGGGTAGATACAAAATTACTATTATTATTATTTTATTTTTATTTTTATTTTTTCGCAAATGTTAGCCATAAGGTCTGGTCAAGGGGTCGTAATGTTTTTTTGTTTTCGACTTTGCTGTCAGTTATTGAGCTGGTGCAACATTGAAAATATGTTTTACCAAAGCAGTTTCTGGTGGGCAACTTTGACAAACATTATGTGAAATTTAGACTTAATATAATTAAGACTGTACAACCTGTTGAATGGACTGTGCATTTATCTCCATCACAGCCTCATTTTCATTTGCCAAAAAAAAAGAAAAAATTATATGGAATCTACCCAGACTGAGGTCTATTCTCATGACAGAAAACGTGTTCCAGCTCCATCTTAACTGCATATGGGATTCCAAGTGCATCATAAGAAAAGTTTGTCTTTAGTTCTGGCCTGTTTTTACAGCTATTGTATGTCTGTGTGCAGAAAGCCAAATTGGGTCCACCCAAAAAAACCATCACCACTTTTGATGCCAGTGGATCCACTTTACCCTCAAGCAGTGTGGACAGTGTCAAGCTCACAGACTTTAATTTCTTGGCAGTATTGGGAAAAGGCAGTTTTGGAAAGGTGAGTTTCCAATCACTTTCCCATAATTAGGTGTATTAATAATTGCATAGCAGTTTTTACTCCCAATTGTACAATTGTCACTCCCATATGGAGTGCGTATGGTAGTGTTTATGGAGCATATGGATAGTAAAATATCCCAGTTTACAGTCCCAGGATATTGTGCTTATGACCTTTCCTAACGTTCTATTGAATTTTCCTCTGAATTTATTTATTTATTCATTTTATTTTATTTCATTTCACTTTTTTGGGGGGAACAATTGGCATTATCTACATTTTAAAAGGCACTCTTACTCTTACTTAATTTAAATTGATTGTTAAATCAACTGAATTGTAATCTTTTAATCATAAGTGTTGTAAATGATTTAAGAATTTTCCTCTGAATTTATTTATTTATTCATTTTATTTTATTTTGATAAAAATAAAATTTGGGGGGAACAATTGGCATTATCTACATTTTAAAAGGCACTCTTACTCTTACTTAATTTAAATTGATTGTTAAATCAACTGAATTGTAATCTTTTAATCATAAGTGTTGTAAATGATTTATTTTTACCCATAAAATTAACCATATTAACTGAATACCAGTATTTATTTGTTTTTTATTGCTGTTTAAAGGGGTCATATGATGTTGCTAAAAAGAACATTATTTTGTGTATTTGGTGTAATGAAATGTGTTTATGCGGTTTAAGGTTCAAAAAACACATTATTTTCCACATATTTTACATTATTGATTGTCCTCTATGCCCCGCCTTTCTGAAA